TGTCTGTACTCGCGAATACAACATGCTCCAAAAAAGGCCTTTTTTCACGATAGAATATTCGTTATCGTAATATGTACAAGAACATTGGTAATAAAATAACCTAATAATAAAGACCAGTTAATAATTACCATTGTAAATTGTTTTTTTTTATGATTATGAGTATTAACATGCTTTATATACTAATTGTTTTTGATAAAACATTAAAATTAAAATTTTTATCTTCAAAGTTAATACACTACTTTATAAAACCTCAGATTGTTCTGTAATCTGAGTATACAAAGTCTGTTGCAACTTGCCGCGTCTGTCTGTATCTCAAAAACTAATGGAAGACAAATTATTTAAATATTCTTTACGAAAGGTTTATAGGTAAAACTAGCGGCCTGCCCTCGCTTCGCTTCAGTGTAGAGCTGAATTGTAGACTACAGTTTTTGTTCTCAGGCTTGTATTATACACAATGACATTCATCTATGATTCTTCTTATACCTGCATGCAAAGTCTCAGTCCGATCGGTTTAAAATTGACAAAGTTTCATTCCCTATTTTATCCCCTTGGGGGTAGAATTGATCAAAATCCTTTCTTAGCGGATGCCTACGTCATAACATCTACCTGCATGCCAAATTTCAGCCCGATCAGTCCAGTGGTTTGGGCTGTGCGTTGATAGATCACTATGTCAGTCAGTCACCTTTGAGTTTTATATATACATGGCATCCCACGGCTACCTCACACGGAGGGAAAGTATATTAAATATTGAAGATAGGATATTTTACTGAAAGAAGACATCATTTTATTTTTAATAATAACAAGAACTGCATTCACAGATTTTTTAAAAATCGCCTGCTACAACTGCGAATCAAACTCGGTGAAATTTCGAAAAAATATCACAACATATTTTATGATAACCATCGAAAGGGTTAATCATAAGGATTATTTTTTGCTAAATAACATAGCATTTTAAATGAAAGGAATGTCTTATTATGTGATAAAAATAGTAAAGTGATATACAAACTGTAGTACGTATGCATTTCTTTTTGAACTCACAGTTACAATGCGATTGGCTGAAAACTAAAATCATGATTCGAAAATGGAACACATAAATTTTCAAGCGTCTGTTCTTTTGGTTTTTGTGAGTTTCGTTTTTGTTATTTGCATTTTTTTTTGTTAATTTACTTACCATGGCGTATCAAAATAAAATGGATTTAATGGAAGCGTGGGACGCCCTATATATGGATATAATTATAAGCCTTTGCCTGAGAACCGAAACTAAAATCTAAGTCGAAGTACTATCTTTACCGTTGCGAAGAGCGACGGGCCGATTACTATAGTTTCAATAAAAAAAAATACGATTATGTGGACGAAGTATAACAATAATTAATCTTCTTTAATCGTTTAATATTAAAACGACAACAAAGACGGCTTCTATACCTAATTAAATTATTACATAGCGTTAGGTACCTAACTACTTTTAAATCAAATCATGCGTTGAATAGTGTGAATAGCGATAAGAGAGTTTAAATAGTAATAACGCTGTGTAAAAATTAACAGATTTAACTTGAAAAATTACTTTCTCTTGATTAAAAACACTTTGAAACCAGTTGTAATGTGGGGTATGTAGCTACATTCCAGGGAACCAATGTTTCGAATATTAACTTTTACTTTTAATTGTCATTATTATTAATAAATGCTTATCTCATATTATTATTGTGTTAATTTTTTCGCAAATGGTACGAAAAGTATAGTATTTTCCTCGGTGATAAAGCTGTCTTAGTCTTGGGTGAACTTAAATCCCTCGCTACACTCAGGACTCGTCTTAAATCCCTCGCTTCGCTATTGATTTAAGTTTATAACACCCTCGCTACGCTCTTGAGTAAACCTCGAGTCCTTCGTTACGCTCGCGATTTAAATCGTCACCCGCGACAGAAGACAATGCTTTATCCCCTTGGTTAATAATCTACTATTTTTATAGAAAATCATGAACTTTACGTGACCTTATCATAAATAAACGATAAATGCTGAAAGCGTAACCGACAAAATATTTATCTATCTATACTTATAATAAATCTGTAGAGATGTCAATTCTGTACATGATATATATTTTTAAAATAACTATCAGGGGGTGATTAGTGATCGATACTGATGCCAAAAGTGCAATCAGTAAGATTTTTGTCTGTCTGTCTGTCTGTCTGTCTGTGTGTATGTTCCTTATAGAAACAAAAACTACTCGACGGATTTTAACGAAACTTGGTACAATTATTCTTCATACTCCTGGGTAGGTTATAGTATACTTTTCATCACGCTACAATCAATAGGAGCAGAGTAGTGAAGGAAAATATTGGGAAAACGGGAGAAGTTACTCCATTTTTTAAGCTTCAGTCGCGTGTGCAGCCTTAATGGTTAAAGTTACATAGAAATCATGTATGACCGAAATATTCTACATAAAATTGTCTAAAAAATATCCTGCAACAGCATATGTTTATCTTTTATGGTTGACTCCCAATAACACGTGTAATTATATAAATAAAGTCATTGTTTATAACACAAGCCTGAGAACAAAAACTATAGTTTACACTACAGCTCTACACCGAAGCGAAGCGAGGGCGGGCCACTAGTTGGTAATAAATGTGGTGTAATAGAACATATTTAGGCGCGTGTTTAGCAAATATTTTTTTTTGACAGCCATGTCTGAATACCAGGTAAAAAAAATGTTTTTATTAAGAAGTTAGTTTTTTTTCTCCTTCAAAACTCAAAATTGCGACCTGTAACTTTATCTATCTCTTACGGTTTGGCCGCTGAAACAGCACCACGGACGGACGGGCGGACTTGTCTAATAGATAAGAGATAATAAGGTTTATTATTCGTATGTTTGACATGTGTCCCTTGATCAATAGAGGTGACGACGGGGTACAGTAAGCGTAATTCTATTTAGTCCGTCAGTTAGATGATCAAAAATAATGGACACGTATTTTTTCTTTGGGCAATCAACCAAAAAATGACAAAGTTATAGCGCGTCAAAGTTTGGGAGTAGGGGCTCGTGACGTCACTTTTTAGTGAATTTTCACTTAAAAGTGTACTCAAACGTGACGTCATGCGACTTTTCAAATCAATATATCTCTGCAATGTTTATATTATGTGAAAAAAGGGAAAATACGTGTGCAATACTTTTTGATAACCTACCTGATAAACGAAGAAGATAAAAATAGTCATCATCCCTATTACAACAATAAACAGAAGAGAGCAATTTTTTGGGCCAATAAAACAACACTGTGCCTAGAGCCAAGTGGGCTTTGGCACGGGGCGGCAGAAACAAGAGCTGTATTTTGATTTATTAGCTCTAGGAGGAGTGCAAATCGCAAGTGGATTTTGAAATTGGTGGTCTATGGCAAGATAGAAATTCTGACAAGTAAATGGTCCTTCATCACAAAAAGGTTAAGAACTATTGTTCTAGAGTCATTATCATCTAGGAAATGAGTCTGCCCTAACTTCCTTGATATTGAAGTTGTTAATGTTTAGTTACACTTAATATAAATAAGTCTATTTGTATTTATACTGCCTGACACAGCAATCAAAATGCAGGTAAACAATTAATGTATATTTAATCATTGTGTAATGAAAGGTGACTTCATGAATCATCACTGAAGTCATTTTTCAACTTGACGACTCTGTGTATAATAAAACAGGGTGAAAAAAACAGCCCTTGCTGAAGAAAAGTTTTACTAGAAAAAAACCACGCGGACCAGGCAGCGGACGGGACTCGAACCCGCACCCGCACGCTATCCGGGCGAATGCACTGACCAATTATGCTACCACGGCCCTGATGGCCGCATCGAAATTTTCCTAGCCTTAAGCTGCAAGGCAGCGCCATCTCTTCGCATTGTAGCTAACCCACAATGTCAAATGAATACTTTTTCAAGTATTAAACATTTGAAAGAAGAAATAGCAATTACAGTTATGTTTTTATTTTTTAAGGTGTTAACCCACGGGTTACCTACAATGCGAAGAGATGGCGTTGCCTTGCAGCGTAAGGCTAGAAAAATTTCGACGCGGCCATCAGGGCCGTGGTAGCATAATTGGTCAGTGCATTCGCCCGGATTGCGAAGGGTGCGGGCTCGAGTCCCGTCCGCTGCCTGGTCCGCGTGGATTTTTTTTCTAGTAAAACTTTTCTTTAGATTAAAACATCTAGCAGTTAAATGCTTAAAAAATAAAAACAGCCCTTGCTGAGTTTCTTGCCGGTTCTTCTCAGTAGAACGAACCGATGGCGGAGCTTCTAGACATTCATTTATGAGTGCTTATATCAGCCTAAACTGAATAAATGATTTTGATTATGATTATATGATATTAAAGTAATCCGTTATTCAGGCACCATGATGCAGCTTTTGCTTACTTTGGTGGGATGACACTGAACACTGTGTGAAAGTTGTGAAATTGAGATATATTTATTTATTTAATAAACTTTCCGAAGAGAATGTAAGACATCAATAAGTAGGCAGTACATTACGTTTCTACTTTCATTTCATATGAAACATTATAATGGGATTTTGCAATGGAATAATTATGGAAATACGTTAAAGTTGAAGATTTCGTATGATAGAAATTTTAATAAAATTAATGTTTGTTAATATTGTCCGGCTACGAAAGTATAGTATAATAACTTTGTCTTCTACCTGCAGCAGTTATTTTACCTAGGTATAACCACTTTTATCCGCATAAAAAGTTGTTTTCCTGGTAACCACGTTACCTAACTTCCAATCATAAAAGATGAGCCAGCCGCAAAAAATGCCCTATCAATATTACGAAATACCGTAAGCTTTCTTCCCGGTTCGCTATCGTTTCCATAGCTTCCCGTCCACCTGTTGGAAGCACCGCGTTACATTCATAAAAGTTGAAAGTGTTGTAAACAACACGCGTACCTACCTGCTTGCGAGAGAGTGGCGTCCTCTCAACAAGACACGATCCAATATTCCTTATAAACTATTATACCAACGCTATAAAAGACAAGCACATACCAGTTGAAATTAAAAAAAATAAGAAACGGCTCGTAGTTCCCTCCGAAAAGTATTTAACACACAAGTATTTTCCACATACACAATGCACTGTTCGGTATTCGAATTGTTTGTAAATTGTGTCGCGTGGTAGGTAGGCGCACGTGTTGCGTGGTAGCGGGACGACGCGGCGCGCGGCACTGGCTGATGCCGAGACCGGTTAGAGTTTCTCTCCGAACCATCGAAAGCGAGCCTTCGAGCCTTTCTTCGAAACACGAGCCCCTACTATTGGCTCGCACGGCGCTGGAAAGGTGAATGAACCATCTCGAATATAAAAAAAACATTTAATTGGAAGCTCGCACTACTACAAAGTTTTTTGATGTGTAACATCTTTCCTCTAGCTTTCCTGCAATTTGTGAGAGTGATTTCGTGAAATGGGACGGAAGTGTGTAACAGGAAGTCGCGAAAGCGCGCGCTATTTGATTTGATTTTAGAACACAATGTTCAAATGACTTATTCCTTTTGTAGTAGGTTTTATTTCTTTTTTTACTAATATAAGGAGAGGTTTTAAATGTTACACATCATACGCGACTACTGTAAGGCTCGCTCGTTTTTTTATGTTAAAATGGTGGCAAGCAAGCAGAAGGCCCGGCTAATCATAAGCGGCCACCATAGCTTATGGACGCTTGCGATCGCCTACCCCGTGGAGCCCCTTTTTTTATTACGCAGGTAAAAAATCTTTACAGACGACGGCGCCTTTAAGAGGCACACCGCCGAACCTGGCTCCCGCAAGTCTTACGGAACCACTAGTGGCTACCCACCGAGGACCCCGCAACTCTTACGGGCGCTTTACAGTATAATATCCGCCGCGGGGTCCCCGCTAGGGATTCAACCACGGATCCCCCCCCCCCCCCCGTGGATACCTGGAACTTTTCTCACCGACAGAAACACAATAACGATAGTGTTATTATGCTGTGGACTTCTGCAAATTAACTAAATAAATTCCCAAGACGGGAGCTTCAATTCGAGCGGGAAATCCTCCTCCATGCCCTAACTCTCTTAACTGTACTGACAGTACACACTTCAATGAACACACCTTATTTTTCTAGAATTTTACTTCTCCTTTTCATAACTTTACCTACTACAATACTTTTGCAGGGAGCAACGGAACGACGCAGCGGCGGCGTGAAGTGCGGATGCAGCGACGCAAATGATGAAGTGACTGACCTACTTGAGTATTGAAAGTGTCAACAGGCAGGCTACTTACCATCAGGAGGAACATAATGCGTGTTCACCATCATTTTTACATAAAAAGGTTGCCTTAACTAAATTAACCAAAAATACAGTTAATTGAAATTTTCGCGTTTCTATATTATCTCTACTTACTTACAGAAATATAGATAAAATGAAAAAGCTCATCGAAAATACCCATTCCTATTCGTAAGTTTTTATTTTTGTATCTTTATTGACAATAGATGCCGAAACCCTGCTGATTTTTTTTTTCGAGGTAGTTTATCTCACTTTAATCTGATTTTCACACTGCCTTCCAAACTGTATGTGCATATATAGTAGGGGTCGGAAGCTTTCGTTTGACTCGCATAGCGATGACGCGCCGATCCGGCTTCTATAAACACCAATCAACAGCATCACAGTAGGATAACCTTATTTCTACTATATATTAGGTCACCGAACGGAAAATAATATATTTATATATATAGACGTATAGAAAATAAATGATCAGCCTAAAATACAACCTTCCCCATATGCTGTATAAGGTATTAAATTTTTATTTTATTGAAAATTTTGTCAAAAAATTCTGCTAGAGTCTGTGCGGAAAGAGAATGGGATTTAGATTGGAGGGCGCTGTAGTGCTTTTCTACCGTATTTGTAAGGTTTTACCCCTTTTAGACATGATTTCATACAAAAAACCGCAAGAAATCACAACAACAAACAAATCCGTATTAATACAAAACTTTGACGTTTTAAAAATTGCTGGGTTTGATTGCCAAATAAAAAATTTGATGTTAGTTCCGTTTTTCGCCACGCCCATTCTCTTTCCGCACAGACTCTAAGCTATTTAATTTAGTAGAAAATTCAGGAATATCCCTGACAACAAACCTTTAGTGAACTTACGAGTATCTCTAAAGAAAATTTAACAAGAAATAATTTCAGCTCCAGTATCAGGGATGGATGGATTCAAACCAGCATCCTTCGCTATCCGGGCTGGGCCTCAGTCCGAACGAAAGCACTGCTGAAGTGCTGACCGAAATGGACGTGTCCAATTTATTTTTTATGTCTCATGACTGCAACACTGCAGGTAATTAAATAGTCAAACGTAATTATTCTATATACATGTTATCTATTCTATCAATACATTTTTTTAATTTATTTATTTATAAGTACATAGAAATATTTAAAATTACAAAAGCTTAAAACTACTTAATGTCTAAAAACTTTAAAACCAGAAGTAACTAGAGTCTTAAATAATATACATTTACAAAATAAAAAAACGAGCGAGCCTTACAGTAGTCGCGTATGATGTGTAACATTTGAAACATCACCTTATATTAGTAAAAAAAGAAATAAAACCTACTACAAAAGGAATAAGCCATTTGAACATTATGTTCTAAAATCAAATCAAATAGCGCGCGCTTTCGCGACTTCCCAAAATCGCGAAATCACTCCCACAAATTGCAGGAAAGCGAGAGGAAAGATGTTACACATGAAAGATATATCACCTCCAGCGCCATGGCAAGGCTAATTCGTTGACCAAGGTAGCTGCCAGCCTTTTGATCACCGGTGACTTCGGTGAGTCTCTTAGACAAGTCCTTAAAGAAGGAGCGAGCGCATGGACCCCATGGTCCCATAGTCTCATCTCAACACCAAACGGCACAAATATATAGTTCTCATTGAGAGCCGAATATTTTGTTTTTATATTTTTAACTTTAAGGATTAAACGTTCTTGGCACAAATTACACATACAAACTAGTATAGAGTCTGTGCGGAAAGAGAATGGGCGTGGCGAAAAACGGAACTAACATTAAGATGTTTATTTGGCAATCAAGCCCAGCAATCTGTTTTACAGATTGCTGGGTTCGATCGGCAAAGTTTTGTATTGATACGGATTTCTTTGTTGTTGTGATTTCTTGCGGTTTTTTGTATTTAATCATGTCTAAAAGAGGTAAACCCTTACAAATACGGTTACCCTTAAAAAAGCACTACAGCGCCCTCCAATCTAAATCGCATTCTCTTTCCGCAGACTCTAGCAAACTTCACTTACTGTTGTTAGCCATGCACTGTGCACCAGGACGCGTTTGATATCGGTCAAGGCGTCCCACCAAGGTTACGGAGATTCTTCAAAAGGAACTTGGTTACCGAAGATGATCCATTAGTCACACCATAACTGGCTCCTGGGAGAGTTATGTCAACTTGAGGGAGAAGGGCAGGATTCATTAATTTTTCACCAAATTACGTCTACCATACCATGGAATTATTGAACAAAATATGTACTGGCTGAGGCTATTGAGAAACTTTTTTCTGCAAAGAAAAGGGGATTCAGTGACGATGGGATGACCAGTCACTATTAGTTCTGAAAACTGAGACCCTAAGAGCTGACAAATTTGAAATTGTCATTAACAACATTTCATTAATATTCTGCATAATGAAGCACAAGCCTATCGACAAAATAAGGAAATCAAGCTTAAAAGTATAAAATAAATAACACACACTTGATGCCACTAAATATAATATATTTTTATCAATATAAAACTTTTACAATAACTGCAAAATACTACTTATTTAAAATATGCGAAATAGAATTCAATACAATCTTTCGCAACATAACAGCCGCAATTAGCCCGTCGTCGCGTCTATATCGCAGTCATCTGGTTGAATCTGCTGTTTGATAAAATGACTAGCGCGTTCATTGAATTACTACATTTAATTAAATCTCTCTTATCTTCTTACATTTATATATTCAAAATCATCATCATCAGCCTATTAATGTCCCCAGTACTGGGGCAAAGGCCTTCCCTATGGATGGTAAAGGAAAAATTGGGCCATGCACGAATTGGGCCCAGTGTGGATTGGTGGGTGCTAACGACTGCTGATGCAGCCGGGACCAACGGCTTAACGTGCCTTCCGAAGCACGGAGGTACTCGAGATAGAATATTTTTGGCCACCCATCCAATGACCGACCACTGCGAAAGTTGCTTAACTTCAACGATCGCTATTGTTATTGAAAATCGAACGCCCGTAAAATAAAATGACTGTCGCCTACACACCCCACTCCAGTGCTGGCTTACCAGCACTCATCTCCTAAAGATACTGAAGCGACGCGTGCAGCCAACCGCCTGAGTACATTTACAGATTGGAACTGGATATCGACCATTCTTATACGTCCATCTTTACCTGGAAATACCGATTGAACCACATCTCTCGGTCATATGTTTCTAAGAAAACTTGGATCTACAAATTATAAATGAATCACCGCATTGTAACGGCTGAAATGACTGGTTTAAAAAAAGGAAAACCTACCCAACGCCGTCAGAACATATCCGACATTGCTATAAATCGCGGTGTACCAATATTTTAAAATGTTGCGTTGGCAAAAGTAGCTGATTTAAAAAATCAACTAAAGATTTTTTTTAATTGATTGCAAGCTTCTGTTGGTCGTTCTCTCTGACGTTCTCTATATCGCCTCTCGAAGAAACAATCTATGGTTGTATTCCGTAATATATACCTACCAGTATACTGGCTATACTGGTGAATTGTTCCGAAATATACAGGCCAGTGCACTGACGTCATAAATCGGCGAAATATTAAAAATAGTGCGAATAAAGAAGATTTTTTTATTCAACTCATCAATTAAAAGGAATTCCCTTTGTGTCGGATGCTATTATTGTTTTTAAATAAAAAAGAAATAAAATTCGAATGCATCTCACGCACGCTCGGTTCGGTCATACGTCATATTCGTTTTCCCGGTAAAAATATAGCATACCAGTACAATATGGCGTCGGATTCGTGACGTCATTACCACTGGCCAGTATACTGATGTACATTTCGGAATACACCCTATATTACTTCGTGATGAGTGCGATTCTATCGGAACATTATCTTGATTAAGATCATTTTCATCTTGGTTGTTCTTGAGTTTGTAATTTAATGTATCTTTGGTATGTATGCATTAAATGAATCCGAGCTCGTTCGTTCTG